CCAAGGTGAGCGTGGGGTACAGGGTGCGCCAGCAGGCTCCTCCGGCCGTGCCTCAGGTGCCAAGGTGTGTCCCCTGTGCTCCCCGCAGGACGAGGATGGCCTGGTACGGGGGCTGTCGGTGCTCTGCAACCTCGCCAACCAGCTCTACTACCCCTGCGAGCACATTGCGTGGGCGGCTGACGCCGGTATTATCCACATCGGCTCTCAGAAGTGGTGGACTCTGAGCACGGCGCTCTGGGCCTTCTCCCTGCTCCTGGGCATCCTGCGGTAAGGCTGCAGTCTGCGGTGGGAAGGAGATGGGCAGGGAATGAACCGTGCTGCCTGTAATCAGGCTAAAACGAAGGACCCTCTCAGCTGCAGAAGGGTGCCCTTCCTCATGGATGTGGTTAGTGCTAGAGAAAAAAACACTCCTCTTTGATGCTGTAGGAGAAATAACGCTGCTGTCTTGTTTTCAGATCCCTGAGAATCTTGTTCCAGTTAAGAAGAAAGCTGAGGCAGCACAAGTGGTACGATTCCTCTCCTTGGCTACACAGCTAATTTAACCCAAGCATTTCTGTTGTCATTTATGAGCTATCACTAATTATTATTACATTATGGGCTATCAGTAATATTCTGCTTGCTTCCAACAGTACATCTTCGCCCCTGAGTCAAAAGAAAATGAAAGCCCAAGTGAAGGCTGAAGTTTTGAGCATCCTCACAGATGTGGCAGATCTCTCCAATGCAATCCACTGGCTGCCTCCAGGATTTCTTTGGGCTGGACGCTTTCCTCCATGGTTAGTAGGTCTCCTGGGGACCATATCTTCCCTGATAGGCATCTACCAAGCATCTAGAGAAGGAAATTCTGAAGCGGTATAAACCATAATTAAGCTTCAGGAGCCCAATTTTTACATGGTAAAAATGCCTTTAGTGAGGCAGGGTGTATTTTAACTTTCCTGGGTGTCAGTGGTTGTAATTCCATGCATCCTGTAATTGGGACTGTAGTCAAGATGTCTATTACAGAGAGGATTGTTTGCGGTTAACAATTTTTATCACTCTTGATCAGAGAAATCTTTCAGGTGAATCCTTTGAGAATCAAGAAATCTCCTAGGACTGGTAAAATAGAGGGGAAAAAAGTGATTTCCATCCTTCCTTTCTCTGTCCCAAAAGACAAATGCAACAGTCCAGTCTTCGCTGTCACTTAAAAGAGCACAAAGTCAGCATTAGGCAGAGAAATGGCCACAGCTCTGTCACACAAAACTCCTACAGGACGGATCCTGAGAGTGCTTTGTGCCTCGTCTGAACCAGGGAGGTGACCTGTATCGTGCAAGTTTCTCCATCGGATATTTTACTGTTTGAGCCCAGAGCGGGTGCCCCAAGCACAAACAGGAGCAAGCGGTTATTTTGTTTGTGACGGTTCTGTTTCTTTAGAGGCGAGAGGGGAAAGAAATAGCAACTGTAAGCAGTGCCTTGCGAAGCTTTCTGCTCGTTTGTGTTGCTCATTTAAGGAGAAATATTAGAAGTTGAGACTTGCCGGGTAAATGAGCGGCAGCGCTGAGCCTCCAGCGGTGCCCTTAGGAACGCCACCGGGTGGAGTTCTTCCCCAGGCTCTGGCGGCAGCCAGCGGACTTTCTGGTTTTTAAAAAAAGCAGCAAATTTACTAATCACCTTTCAAAGGACCAATCAAACCCACGCCGTGATGAGTTTTACAGTTCTGTTTCTAGGCGGTGCCAATAATAAACGAGATGAATGCTTCAAAGGTGGCCTTGAGTGATCCTTCCTTCTGATAACTGGGCAAATGTTCTTTATCTGGTTCTAGAAAGTTCCAGGCAGTGCCTAGGCGACAGAAAACGTTTGTGCTCCGTTTGCTGCAGCTCCCCATCTGTCACCAGCCTTCCTTCTACCGAAATAATTGAGAGCACCTGACTCACTGTCATGGAAATGCATCTTTTGAAAACGGTTCTGCTTAGTCTGCGCGGTGCTTGCACTCCCTGCAACGCAGCACGGTGCACACCGCCTTTCCAGAAGGTTTTACCTCGTTGTTGTTGTTGTTTTTGGCATGGACATGGGAAACCATCTCCTGCCTGTGTTCAAAGAGCAGAGCGAGGGCTTGAGACTCTTTATCCTTTGCCCTGACCTTGCTGTTTATCTGCACCTTCACCCTGCAAAGCGCTCCAGAGGACACCTTCCTGACTGCGCTCAGAATTTGGTGCCAGATTTACAGGTTTTGGTACAACTCGGAGTGTAGGCAGGCGTTAGTGGGAAGAGACTCTTGTTTTTTCTCTATTTATGCTGCAGGTTTTGTGCCCAAACAGGCAGAGCAGCCGGGTCCTGCTGCTTAGGGACAGCTGGAGCTATTGCCCAGTGCTGTCACCATCTGCGATGGCTCCTGCCGCAGTTTAGTGGTTTTTAATAAGAAATCAGATTCTATCTTTTGGTATTAACCTCGTTAAACTGTTCCTTCAGAACACGCTCTCCTGTGTAGTGTGGGACAAGGTGTAGCGATAGCAACTTAAAAAAAACCCAACAAACCACATCTGATGCCAAATTAGTAAAACTCTAAACCACACTTTTAATTTTAACGTAGAGAAAGGACGCTGTCTGCTGGTCTAAGTGCGTCTGCTTCAACCACTTCCTCATCGAGTGATTTTTAAATTGCAGCCAGTGAAGCGCGGGACAAACTGAAAAGTGCAAGGATAAAGCAAAATCTGGTAATTTCAGCATTTCTGAAATTCGTATTTTTGGTCCCCACTGACACATAGTATTTAATCACCTATGGTGGCTGCTGCTGGCTGTCCTGAGCATCACTTGCTCTTTTTTTCACCCAACACCTTGCACGGGCAGACCTGATCCTCCCAAAACCTGCGCATTTTTTTTTTCAATTTTTTTTTTTTTCCTTTTTTCTGATGCGGCCATCAGCCCAACTCTGCTCCTGCTTTGCCCCACGCAGGAAAACATTTGCTGAGCAGGGATGGTCTGTTCCGGCCGTGACCTCCCTTTGTCAGCAAG